GTGCGCAGGAAATGGACATTCGCTGGAAGTCAGTTCCCACCCTGTTCTCCTTTGTGTTGCCCCGTCGTCAGGTTTCCACCTGCCTAGAGACTCTCTGACGGGTGAGCCGGCTGGATTTGTGGCCGTTTTGAACACGTCCGTCTCAATTTTGCGCTCCTTGTTTTTCCTGTCGCCGGGGTCAAGTTACCCGTCCGCTCCTTGGCAACTGAGGCTCAGCATTCCAAATTATCTCAAGAGAACGGAGATGGAAACACCTTGGAAGACAAAGAATGGAAACCAAATTAGCAGGGAAGACAAGCAAAGGCCAGATGTTTAAAACTTGGGAGGTCTCCTCTAAACCAAACCAGCGCCCGTAGGGGGAATGTCAAAAGGCCGTTTCTCAATAGAGCCTGTGTCCACGTTGCAATCCTATTTCTCCCAAAATTTTAGAAGTGTCTGCAGATGCTCACCTTTGTTTAGCTCTTCTCTCTTCTCTTCTCACTTGTTTTAGAGATACAGTACACAGCATTCCTCAACGCTACCATATTTTTCGCACCATAAGACGCGTGTCTGCAGATGCTCACCTTTGTTTAGCTCTTCTCTCTTCTCTTCTCACTTGTTTTAGAGATACAGTACACAGCATTCCTCAACGCTACCATATTTTTCGCACCATAAGACGCACTTCCCCCCCCAAAAAAAACATTCCACGTTGCAATCCTATTTCTCCCAAAATTTTAGAAATGTCTGCTGATGCTCACCTTTGTTTAGCTCTCTCCTCTCCTCTCTTCTTCTCACTTGTTTTAGAGATACACTGCATTCGCCAAAGCTAGTTTCCCCTGTAACCTAGTCTGAAGGATAAAGGATTTCCATTATGCTCGTTTGATTTTCTGCCTCCCCTTAATCTAGTCTGAAGGATAAAGGATTTCCATTATGCTCGTTTGATTTTCTGCCTCATGCATCTACTGTGCTCGGGAATGTCTAATGGCACAGGAGATAATAATTTCCTCATTGACTCTGTAATATTCGGAACCAGAGGTCTATTTTAAGTGCCAGCATCTCAGTCGGAGGCCACCACTAATGAAGCTTTCGACGAACGCTCCAGTGCACCCTGCTAAGAACAGGGCAAGAAAGAGGCATGAGATATATCTCAAATAAACAATATAAAACCCAATTAAAAGTTTTTAACTGTAAAGCACCTGTACACTTGAAAAATATTGACGTGCTCAACAGCATTGTCTTTGTGTTTCAAGGCAATGGCTCTTTAAAGACACGGAAACCTAGATCAAAAGCTTATATTAAAAATAATAATTTCAAATCATGGAATATACATTCGGTTCTCCTTTCTTCCTATTGGCACTTATCAGCCTGGCGAGACACTGTGATGCATGCCACTTATATGGCATTTTTTACACAGTACAAGGGGTGTGTGTGTGTGTGTGTGTGTGTGTGTGTGTGTATCTGTCTGTCTCTCTCTCTCTCTCTCTTTCTGTGTGTGTGTAAAAATCACAGCCTCTAAGATTCTCTGGATAACCATGCCAGGTTCCCATGATATTTCATTGTGGTTTTCTGGCTTTGTAAAGGTTTGGTTCCTAACAACATGTGGCCAAGAGAATCTATTGAATCATGGAAAGCAAGCACTGCGTATTAAAATGCATTTCCCAGATTCATCCCAAAATGTGCATTGGGGGGTAAATTAGAATTATACAGTACCAGTTGAAACTCTTTCTCTTTGAAACATTAAATTCTGTGATCGGCATTAGCAGCCTAGAAGCTTCTGCCGTGGGGTGATGTTGGTGACGCCAACTAAGCAAAAGACTCCACAACTCTTTAGCTGACAAATTTATTCAAAATCTTAACGGTAGTTAGATAGAGACAGTAACCTACAATTAATATTAATTTTTACATTTTAAGATTGCTGGGTTTTTACCCCGACTCAAAGAAGGTGAAAGTATGAGTAAAGAAACTGGACAAAGCCAGCGTGCGCAGAAAAGGATTTGGCATTCCAACAGCAAAACTTTATAAAGCTTTATAGTAATACAGTAGGACCGTATGTGCTGGTTCATTTATTCATGGTCGGAAAAAAAATTAAAAATATTAAAAGAAAAATGTCCAAAATATATATTTCTAAAGTTGAAGTTTCCAGAACTGGCCACTAGAGGGAGCCACACACCATGCTGTGTATTGTGTTTGCTATTAAAATAGCGTTTACTATTATCCACATTTTCCAGCATCCACAGGGAGCTTGGAACTGATTTCCTGCAGAGATGGGGGTCCTACTGTATTGAGCAAACCTTCTTTGGGTTACTTTGAGTTGCTCTTCCCCAGACGTCAAGTAGGGCGAAAAGTCCCTTCCTTCACAGGAGTAAATAAACAGACGTATCGACCCTCAGCCTAATTGGTACAGCAGCAGGTTTTAATTTTAAATCCCTTTTGAACAGCTTTACACAGATTTATCAAAACCAGATTTTGCAAGGACTATCTTTGGAGTATTTTAATAAATTACTTAAAATTCTACATTAATGAACTTTCTAAAAGTTGGTGGATGGGAGTCAAATGGCCCTGCAGGGTTACAGTGGGACTGAGGAGTCGTTTATGTACATTTAGGACTTTAAAATAATAAAGTCTTGGTCCATATTGCCCTATCAATATGGGTGGCAGTTTTCCCACTCATCTCCCACAAATGTACACTGGAAAGAATATCAGTGTGAGCTTCCATTTTCTGACACATTGCATTTAATGAAATGAACTCACCCATTTCATTATTAGATTAAACAAAATAACTAATGAAGCTTTCAGCGAACGCTCTAGTGCACCCTTCTAAGAACAGGGCAAGAAAGAGGCATGAAATATATCTCAAATAACCAATATAAAACCCAATTAAAAGTTTTTAACAAGTTATTCATAGGATGAAAATGACATCTAGGAAGCTAAAAATGAATACAGTGAATATTGGCTTATAAATTTTCCTTTTTTCTATCCGGCTGTCAGAAAGATCTTGGTTATTGTCTGTCCCAGCTACGGATGCCACCTTTCCTTTCTGTCTCACTCTTGGCTGGCCACCTTTTTTAAACCTCTAGTGGACTGGGGACGGTGGCTCTTCAAATCATGGAATATACATTCGGTTCTCCTTTCTTCCTATTGGCACTTATCAGCCTGGCGAGACACTGTGATGCATGCCACTTATATGGCATTTTTTACACAGTACAAGGGGTGTGTGTGTGTGTGTGTGTGTCACTAATGAAGCTTTCGACGAACGCTCCAGTGCACCCTGCTAAGAACAGGGCAAGAAAGAGGCATGAGATATATCTCAAATAAACAATATAAAACCCAATTAAAAGTTTTTAACTGTAAAGCACCTGTACACTTGAAAAATATTGACGTGCTCAACAGCATTGTCTTTGTGTTTCAAGGCAATGGCTCTTTAAAGACACAGAAACCTAGATCAAAAGCTTATATTAAAAATAATAATGTCAAATATTATACAGTACCGGTTGGAACTCTTTCTCTTTGAACCATTAAATTCTGTGATCGGCATTCGCAGTCTAGAAACTTCTGCCGTGGGGTAATGTTGGTGACGCCAACTAAGCAAAAGACTCCACAACTCTTTAGCTGACAAATTTATTCAAAATCTTAACGGTAGTTAGATAGAGACAGTAACCTACAGTTAATATTAATTTTTACAGTTTACGATTGCTGGGTTTTTACCCTGACTCAAAGAAGGTGAAAGTATGAGTAAAGAAACTGGACAAAGCCAGCGTGCGCAGAAAAGGATTTGGCATTCCAACAGCAAAACTTTATAAAGCTTTATAGTAATACAGTAGGACCCCGGGATCTGTGGGATCCGTATGTGCTGGTTCATTTATTCATGGTCGGAAAAAATTTTTAAAAAATTAAAAGAAAAATGTCCAAAATATATATTTCTAAAGTTGAAGTTTCCAGAACTGGCCACTAGAGGGAGCCACACACCATGCTGTGTATTGTGTTTGCTATTAAAATAGCGTTTACTATTATCCACATTTTCCAGCATCCACAGGGAGCTTGGAACTGATTTCCTGCAGAGATGGGGGTCCTACTGTATTGAGCAAACCTTCTTTGGGTTACTTTGAGTTGCTCTTCCCCAGACGTCAAGTAGGGCAAAAAGTCCCTTCCTTCACAGGAGTAAATAAACAGACGTATCGACCCTCAGCCTAATTGGTACAGCAGCAGGTTTTAATTTTAAATCCCTTTTGAACAGCTTTACACAGATTTATCAAAACCAGATTTTGCAAGGACTATCTTTGGAGTATTTTAATAAATTACTTAAAATTCTACATTAATGAACTTTCTAAAAGTTGGTGGATGGGAGTCAAATGGCCCTGCAGGGTTACAGTGGGACTGAGGAGTCGTTTATGTACATTTAGGACTTTAAAATAATAAAGTCTTGGTCCATATTGCCCTATCAATATGGGTGGCAGTTTTCCCACTCATCTCCCACAAATGTACACTGGAAAGAATATCAATGTGAGCTTCCATTTTCTGACACATTGCATTTAATGAAATGAACTCACCCATTTCATTATTAGATTAAACAAAATAAAAAAAAAACACTTCTAATCAAAACAGAATCAAGTTATTCATAGGATGAAAATGACATCTAGGAAGCTAAAAATGAATACAGTGAATATTGGCTTATAAATTTTCCTTTTTTCTATCCGGCTGTCAGAAAGATCTTGGTTATTGTCTGTCCCAGCTACGGATGCCACCTTTCCTTTCTGTCTCACTCTTGGCTGGCCACCTTTTTTAAACCTCTAGTGGACTGGGGACGGTGGCTCATCTTTGTGATTTAAAAAGTCATGGATCATTGAAACACCGACCCGCACACACACAAAAAAATGGACTCGAAACTTGGAAAGCACATCTATTCAACCACATTCTGTTTGCGATACTAATTCAACAAGATGCGACATCGAGATGCGGGTGAAGATCTTGTGGTTCTCCGTTGTCTTCCTAAAGCTCTTTGGGGTCAGGCTTGGGGTGGGGTGTGTGTGAAAAGAATCAGATGTCCAGCGTTGTTTGGTGGGAGTCTCTTTGCTCTTTCCTTAGCCTCCCCTAAATTGCACCACGGAGCCTCGGTCCTCCATTTCCAGAGGCGGTGTGGTCGTCCACGGCCCGCGTTTTCTTGTCCGTATCAAAACTGCGCGTGATCGACTTCATCTAACCACGAGGCAGGGCTAGCGGGGAAATCCGGATAGCCCCCGCTGCTTCCCGAAGAAAGCTCCAAATTGGGTCCATTCCCGGCTAGTCCTCTCATGGGTTGAGGCATGGCGGGTCCGACTTGGCTCACGAGGCCCAAGCCACTGTCTGGGTAAACCAAGGTGGACATTAAAGGCGGGTGTCCAGGCAACGCTTGCAGGGAGGTGGGAGACGGAGGCATCCCGTAAGGGCTGTTGGACCGGAGGTCTTGGTACCGGTCCTGGGGCGGGATGCTGCTGTCGTCCAAGGAAAAGCTGCCGTTGGTCCCGGCCGGTCTCCCCAAGGCAGGGGAGCTTCCTCCGAGGTTGCTGTAGATGCCGTTAGTGTGACTTATTTCTGACATCGAAGGTTCGTCTGAAATAGGGAAGGATGGTCAATTTATTTGAGACATTTTCCCTCCTTTCATAACAGTTCAGTGACACGCGCTAACTATGAATTCTGCTGTGCATAGCGTCCGCTGGTAAAACAGCATTCACTATTATCCGTGGGTTTCAGCATGCGCAGGCGTGCTTAGGACCAGTTTCCCCATGCCTATGGGGGGGTCCTACTGTAGTAAAAAATGCACACATACACATAACAGAGAGAGCCATGTGGTCCTCATTGTTGCAAAAAAGAATGATAGTTCTGATCATCCGCCTGCTTTGTGTTCCACCCTCCACCTGAGGCCTGTACCTGTGAAAGACACCTCAGCGTCACTGTCTGGCCCTTCTTCCTGGATGCTGTCCTTGTCTGATTTGGAATTCCCTCTTGAGCGTTTCATGTTTCTGAAATATTGTCCCCATCTTTGTCGGCCGGCATCTTTTTTAAGACGTTTTTCTTTGGCTCTTCTATTCTGGAACCAAACCTAGGGGGAAAAAATAGGTAATGTTTAAACCATTAGTACTTAAAGTTACTGGGAAACTGAGATGGAAAATAACCCTACGGTCTTGCAACTACTGCTGCACTTATCCTTTTCAGATTCAGCAAAATTCAACTAACAAAATAAATAAATAAATAAATTCAGATGCATTAATTTTCTAAACGCATTTGACAACTTAAACCCTTCCACCTAACATCCATGGGACAGCAATTAGATTTACTAGACTGGATGATTGCCTAAGACAGACCTATGGTTTCATACTATAAAGAAAATGGAATATTGTTTTATTTATTCAAAATATTTTTTTTTACCCTGGAAATAATTTATTTCTTGTTTCTTTTGTGTCTTAGGCTGGGACGATACAAAAAGAAACCTGGAATCGTGGAGCGGGAAGGGGGCCTCGAAGGCCATCTAGTCCAACCCACCCTGCTCAAGGCAGGGATCCCAATCCAAGCCCATCAGACTGCCACCTCCCCTTGAGGTCCTTGGTTCCCTTGTCGTACCGCTCTAACAGGTAAGAAGTCCATCACCCACCTGAACCACTCTCATATCCAGGCCTGTCTCGGAAGACAGCTGTTCCCGCACGTGCCGCGCTGGCTTCGGTGAGTTGTTGTAAGCATTTTTCAAGGTTTCCAGCTGTTTGGCTGTGATTGTTGTGCGAGGTCTCTTTGCCGTGGACTCGGCTTCTGAAAGCATGCCCAAGAGAGACTGGTCAAACTACAAAACCTCCAGAGCCTCCGTTATGATGATTCTAGATAGTGGACTGTATCATTTACAGTCTCGAGGATGAGATGGTTGGACAGGGTCCTCAAAGCGACCAACATGAATTTGACCCAACTCCGGGAGGCAGTGGAAGACAGGAGGGCCTGGCGTGCTCTGGTCCATGGGGTCGCAAAGAGTCGGACACGACTAAACAACAACAAAGGAAACCTTCCACTCACCCAACCTGGGGGTGGGGGGGCAGAAATTGCCCACCTGCTACTATCAAGAAATCCGTCACTGCCTGCTATTAACTGCTCACCTCTTTGCTTGGCTGTCTCGTAGTCAGCCTTACACACCAGCCGGCTGTCTTCCATGAGGTAGAATTCATCCCCAGTCGCCAGCTGTCGTTTGCACACGATACAAGAGAAGCAGTGAAGGTGGTAGACGAAATCTTGAGCCCTCCGCACAACCTGCGTTGGAGGAATGCCCTGCTGGCAGGCGGCGCACTTCGTCCCGAACCTCCTGTTCCGTGTAGACGAAGAAACAAAGAGACATCCGTTTGTCAAGCGGATTTGTGCATTTCTGTGCCCTTCCCAGTTTGCCATTTTGCCACAATTTTACTTTAAAACAATAGGCCTGGGAGCATGCACCCTGTTTAAAGGCCCAAATTGCAACACGCTCCCCTTTCTCAGCTAGTTTGGCAGTGGAAAGATTTTCTGCGTTCAGGAAGGAGCAAAACTGCCCAACCTTATTCCCATTTTTTCTCTGCGAGGTCCAGAACGTGCGCTACCTGGATCCCCACTAGTACTCAGGAAAGACTGTGAACGCACTTAAAAAAATCATCTTTGCAGTAGACGCTCTCCCCGCGGCTGAAGCATTTCTCGGCCAGCTGGATCTGACAGTCGTGGCATTTCAGGCACTTGCTATGCCAGTGACGGTCCAGGACCTTCAGGATGAAACGGTCCACAATGTACTGGTTGCAACCCGCGCATAGTGGGATCTCTGGTGAGAAAAAGGAGATCAATATGTGAAACCCACGCGGCGCACAATGCACAGCTAGCACAACCTCACAACCACACAGAAAGTTTATTTTTGGTCAAAGTGCAAAAGCAGGCGTCACCTCTGCAAGCTGCCATTTTTTTTAAAAAACGCAAAAACAACAGCATTATCCCCATCAAAAGAACAGTGATTCTTAGGCAGAAAAGGATGGACAACTATCTATAGGGATTTCTGAGCTCCATAAATTTCAATGAATGGATGAATTAAATGTCTGTTGCCAACAATAATCGTATTGCACTCATCTCTGAGAGCAAGTATCTTTGAACACCTCTGAAACTGAGCAATTGGGCTTGGGTTAATATATATTCTTTTATTTAGTTAAAATATTTTAACCCCGCCTTTCTTTTTAGAAGGACCGAAGGCGGCTTTCATCATTAAAAGGCAGTATTAAAAGCAACCAAAAGCGAGTGTACAAATACTAAAAAGGATCAAGCAAAAGCAATGCAAACTAACTAACTAACTAACTAACTAACTAACTAACTAACTAACTAACTAACTAACTAACTAACTAACTAACTAACTAACTAACTAACTAACTAACTAACTAACTAACTAACTAACTAACTAACTAACTAACTAACTAACTAACTAACTAACTAACTAACTAACTAACTAACTAACTAACTAACTAAACATAAACATAAACATAAACATAAACAAACAAACAAACAAACAAACAAATAAATAAATAAATAAATAAATATACAATGCCAAAACACCTTCAAAGCAATGAAGGCACGGCCATCCATTAAAAAAGCCCACTGAGGCAACCAGTCACCGAGGGAATGTTTGCCTGAAAAGAAAGGTCTTCACCTGCTTCTGAAAGGAGACCCAAGACGGGACCAGCTTGGCCTCTAGTGGCAGGGAGTTCCAGAGACTGAGAGCAGCCACAGAGAAGGCCCTCTCCTGTGTTTCCCCTCCCGAGACATACCAGTGAAGACAGTGGGACTGAGAGGAAGTTCTCTCCTGATGATCTTAACGCCCAAGGAGGCTCATTAAGGGAAATGCCATCCTTGAGGTAGCTTAGGGCTTTACCAGATAATAATAGCACAATTCTGTTTCACAAGATTTTTGAGGGGTCAAGCACTGCCTAGGTGAGAAGGATCGATGGAATCCCACCCCAGTGCTTTCTGCTCAGAAATCCTTTTTCCCCCCATCAAAAGGAGGGTATTTGCTTTATTTAAAATATTTTTGCCCCACCTTTCTCCTTGAAAGGACCGGAGGCAGCTTCCAACCATTGAAAGACAGTATTCGAAAGCCAAAAACAGTGAGTATCCAAATATTTTTTAAAAATGAAACAAATATTATATTTTTAAATGGTAAATTAAAAATCAGTCCTGATTGTAAGGGGGAATTCAGGTCTGTAGCATGTCAAGGACCTGTATCCCCACATTCAGCAGGCGACGTGCTTTAATCCAAACTCTTGGATTGTAAAAGCGCCCACCGCTGTTACAAATTTTCTCTAGACTACGTCAATATAGTCATGAGATCTGCAAATATATTAGTTGCATGCGGGGGGGGGTACTTTTTAAAGCTCTCCTCAAAGAAACAACCTGGTCCAAATCGTTCCAGAAGGAGTCCTTCTCCCCTCACTTTCAGTTATTTCAAAACAATGCATTATTAATATTTATTTATTTATTTATTTCTTAAACGCATGCATCGCCCCTTTAGTGCAATGCAGTGCTCTGAGCTGTTTACAGACTGATAAGGACTTCTCGTGAGCATCCTTTTAGCCTCCCAAGTGTTAGCAAATCCTCTTTGGTTTTCTTCAAATTTTGAGGAAGGGGGTGAAAGATGAATAACACTGAGGACTAGCACCCCTTGATTTTGTCGGGAGGGGAGGTGCCTGCAGATCTTCTGATGGGTGTCGGAAAAAGGCCTCTGGGCTCAGCTCAAGCTTTCTGCACTGGGGCATGGATGCTGGGAGTCTAGTAAAATTGCCATAATTAAAAAATATAATTATTCCACTGGACGTTTGGTTTCGGTTTGCTTTATTA